TGTCCTGGAGGAACAAACGACAACGTCGACAAACGTCGACAAACGTCAACAACGTCAACAACGTCAACAACGCGACTGCGATGACGACGACAACAACAACGACGACGTTGTCCTTGTTGACGACCAGGAGATCAGGATTCAACACAAACGAATGCATGATTAAAAAGGAAAAACAGAAAAGACAAAGCAACAGTTCTCTGGTCAATCTATGAAACGTCTTTCACACAAGTTAAGAAAACAACAAGTGAATAGAACTAGATATAAAAGAAGAAACTAGTCTGGAGAAAAGACAACAGTACTTTAAGGAATACTCCAAACTATTATTCTATAACATCTAAAATAACAAAAGAAGAAATCCAATCAGCAATGAGGAGTAAATGACCACTGTAAACCATTCACCTCCATATTATCTAAGACTTTTTAACGTGATGTGCCCCCCCCCCCCCCCCCCGTGAGGGAAATGTTCAAAAAAACACACACACACACACACACACACACACACACACACACAGACTGAGCGCTAATCATTACGTATGAATATGTTTTAGCGCCCCCTTAAGCTCCAGCTCAGTAAAACTGAGAAAGGTCAGAGGTCATGATCTCAACATGGCAGGTTGTGAACAGCTGGGTACCTTGGTGGTTCTGGCAGCTGGTACTTTTCCCACTGCTGAGCTGGAGCTGATGTGAACGTTGACTTCTTCTTGGTTGGTCTCCTCGTTCTCCAGCTTTGGCTCCTCAATGTCAGCAGACTCGGACTTTTTAGGCACTAAAAAACAAAAAAACAAAAAAAAACTTTTTTTGTGCCAGACAGACCACAGAAAAACAGGAACTCAGGACAGTACCAGTAACTGCATTGACATGTTTCAGGTTTGTGAAGAAGCTGGAACAGAGGCAGGTATGAACCCTGACAGGTATGAACATGACACTCCACTTCCACTACTTTCTGATAGTCCTACTACAGTGGGGCCGAATGTCCTGCTTTTAAGTCTGAAGTCTAAGCCTCTGCAGTGCCATTCTGAGTGGTGGCGCTGAAGAGCAAACACGGTGGTTTTTCTAAAGCAGCTTAGAGTGAACGTCAGTGGTGACTGTCTAAAAAGCTGAAGACTTTCAGGTGAACCCGAGCCTCACCTCTTTTTTTCCTGCGCTCTCGTATCAGTTTCTGCGTGATCCTCCTCCACCGTGGCTGTGAGCTAAGCAGCTTCAGTTTGGAGACGATGGACAGGTCATTGCTGACAGCAGGACGCAGCTCATTGAAGAGGAAACGCAGACGCTCGATGACCGGAGCACAAACCTCCTTGTAGGAGCGACCCTGCTCCTGGTGGGTCTGTAAAAAGAAGGGGAATCATGAACTGGTTCCTTTGAGGCCCGGAGGTTCTTGGGGCGTGTGCTGCAGCAGAAACACTACCTTGATTAAAGAACACTTGGCCTGGTAGACCATACGGCACACATCGATCACTGACTTGGGGAGTGACCTCTGCTTCCCCTGGTCGACACCCAGAGCACACTGACTGACCAATGAAAGAGCAACTTGACCTGTGATAGAAAGAGGAACAGAGGGGCCTCAGTGAGAAAAATAAGAAAAGACATTTCATAGAGACTATCACTGAACGTGTGAGCTCAAATCACTGATTTTCTCCATGGACTTTGGTCTGAACTAAATTAGTTACTGAGCACATGACCACATCAGCACACCCAGGTCCTGGTGTTTGAGGAGGCAGCAGAGGAGCAGACGGCCCACCTCCTCCACAGGGTGCTCCGGGGGGAAGGTGATGGGTGTGATGAGGTGGTACTGTCTGCAGCAGCGTTCAATTTGGCACAGGAAGTCCTGCCATTGGGACCAGAACAACAAGGTTGGTTGATGTCAGAGAGAGGTAGTGACATCATCAGTTTATCTAGAACTAGGTTCTGATGTGACATCATCAGTTTATCTAGAACTAGCTCATTGAGCAGATTTTCAATCTCAGACACAAAAACAACTCAATGTTAGGAACAAACTTTAACCTCAGCATTGCTCAACTTATAGTTAGCATTTAGCCATAAGTTACTGTTAGTGACTCCATGTTAGCTGTGGTCTGGTCTGGGCCAGCTCTACCTTGACCGTGTGCTCCTGAGTGTTGTTGTCAGCGATGGCCTGGAGGAACGGCTGGGCGTGGTCACTGAGGGTCAGTCTCCTGGAGTACAGCTTGGCCTTGTCTGCAGTGGTCGATCCCAGGGAGGTGCAGTGGTCTTCGTCCTTCTCCTCGTTGTAGTTGTAGTGGATCTGACTGGTCTGTAGACCTCCAGAGAAGATGGACGACTGGAGCCATTCTGTGACACACAGACAGAGTATTTGTAGGTCAAAGGTCTGCGACCAGTGATGGTACAAACAGTCGGCCGTCTGACCGTACTCACTGGCACATTCCGTCTCCATGGGGGAGAGGGGCGTGCTCTTGGCCAGGTAGGAGGCGTGGAGGCCCAGCAGGAGGCCCAGGTTCCTCTCTGTGTCCATCAGAGGTGAAGACAGACTGCTGAGGTCAGGGGTGGTGACCGTCTCTTGGTTTGGCTGGAGGTGGAGGAGAAGATTGACTGGTTGGTTCTGGAGGTTCATGAAGGCTAGCTTTAGGGTACTGTTAGTGCCCCCTGCTGCTGAAGCCAATCTCCCTGGTAAGATGTACTGTGACCCAGTATCTTCAGGACCTGTTCAGGTGTTTGTCTGGCCGTGGTGGAGGTCAGGGTTAGTACCTACCTCCATGTACTGTCCCACACAGAAGGCCTGCATGGACTCCCGGGTGTCTTCAAACTGCAGAGCAGCTTCCAGAGCCACCACAGGGTCTTCTCCTGCAAACTGAGCTGAAAAGACAAAGAGGAGAGAAGAGAACCAACCAGGGGTGAACATGTGCTTCAACACCAGGACCAGGACCAGGAGCAGGACCAGGAGCACAGTCTTACCCAGGACACTGTTCCCTGACAGGGACTGAGACTGAGCCTGGAAGTCCTTGATGTCGTAGACCTTTCCATCGATGATGGTCCAGAAGCCTCCGTCTTTGTTGTGGTTCTCCAGGTCTGCCTTCCTGATCAGAGACACCTCCTCGTTGTTCTTACAGCTCTGACCTGTGAAGAAGGAACCTGAACAAAACCCACACCATCTCTCCGTCACTGACTGCAGCAGAAATCACACACGCTGACGGAGACACGCCAGCTACACTGATTACCCATAATGCCCGGCCAGGCCAGGTCCTCGTTCTCGTCTCTCTCGTGTCCCGGAGCCAGGTGGTTGAATCGATCCAGGTGTTCCAGGAGTCCAGCCAGCAGAGAGATGGAGCCGGTCTCCTGCATCAGAGCGTTGTCCAGGGTGAGGAGGAGGACGGTGGACACCACCAGCTCAGGAAGAAGAACTCCTGCAGATCAGAGAAGACACAGAGCCAGACAATGACCTCTGACCTTCAACCAGGAGAACAACTTCAGTCTATATCTTTATATGTTTCTTGCTGCTACACTGCCCCCTGGCGGTAGACCCAGCTGCAGGAACTATTTGGTTGTTCCTGTTACATGGTTCCAAAACAGTTCCTGCTGTAGAAGAAGGACTGCTGCGTCACAACTGAGTAGGTGGAGTTTGAAACACACAGATTCCTGATTGGTGAAGAACGGTTCTTTACACTCCCAATCGTTGTATTCAAAGTTTTGTTCCTCAACTCTGACAAGTGTGTGATATCATCATTTGTGGGTGTGGCCATCAGTTACCAGTCAGATCTCCTTCGATGACTCTGGACACCTCAGCAAAGTGTCTGGGTCCAGAAGAGGCAATGCTGGTGGCCACCGGGAGGATGTCACCGATGTGAGTGCACAGTAGAGCGATGTACTTCTTCAGGAGGGAACCCACGCCCAGAAGTTCTGGATCTGCGAGAACACGGAGAGTCAAGTAGCAGCAGGCGCAAACAGAACCGATAAATGTTCCAGATAGAAGAACTCACTGTATCCGTTCCTGTCCTCTAATCCACTGACGCCCAGGTACAGTTTACTGACCAGCAGCCTCTGGAACCTCAGCAGCAGATCCAAAGACGCAGAACGTTCTTTACTGACGTGCTCGGCCTCTAAGTAGTTCGATATCCGACAGGCCACGTCCTTCAGTCTGGTGATGGTCTGAGAGGCGATGTTCCTGGACACAGAGGGTCAAAGGGAGAAAGGGTCAAGAACACGGTACCGCAAACTTGTTGGACCATTCGTTTACTGCCCCTCCCCCCCATGCCCCTCCTCCTCCTCCTCTAACCCGCCCCAATAAGAAACAGCAGTATCTCCTGCAGATGTTCTTCATCTCTGGTACCTGAGCAGCTGCTGCACCAGCTGCACCAGCGGCAGACTCTGTTTCCCCGCAGACTCGTAAATTCCAGTGTTGATGAGGTCTTTGTCCAGCAGGGTGCGACAGCGGTGCATGGTGGAGGCATTGGCCTCCTGCTCATCAATCTCCTTCTCCTTCTGCGCCTCCTTCTTGGCTTCTATGTCTCGGATCTCGGCGGTGATGGCGGCGTTGAGAGCGGACTCCAAACCTCCGTCGGCCATCAGACTGCTGACGAGCAGGTCGATCATGAAGCGACGCCCGGGACTGACGCTCATTTCGTTTCCTGACACTGAGAAGAGAAACCGAGATCAGAAGCTTCAGCAAAGATCCACACAGTGAAGATGTTTGTCTTGAACAGAACCCATGTCTCCTGTAGAAGAATTTCAACAAAACAATAGCAGTGACAGACTCTCACCAGCGTGGGGCAGCAGCGAGGACAGAGCGCGAGCTCGTTCCTCAGCGGTGGGCAGCAGCACTGACCAGCCGCTCTGCAGCACGGCCTGAGCAGCGGCCTGGACCGTGTTCAGAACCCCGGCATTGCTGGCCAGCACCACCACCGTCTGTTTGAGGTTGTTGAGCAGGAGACTGCCCAGACCCAGACCCAGGTCTTCTGGATTCACCTGGTTACTGATGGCAGCGTGGAGCTGAGGGAGAGAGAGAGAAGAGAGAAGCCACGCACCCACATCGTCCACCGCTCAGTTGAACTGCGTTTGTTGTTCAAAAATGTAGTAGTGACTCAAACTGACCACAGGGGGCAGCAGTGGACCAGCATCGCTTGTGTCCCTGCCATCAGTATTGTCAGGTGGAGTTTTACCTGGAGGCGGAGCAGGTTGAGTGTGGCTACGACGATACACTCCTTCTCCTGAGGGGGGGGCCAGTCCGAACTACCGTCCATTCCCTCGCTGACCTGTCGCAGGAGCAGGTCCAGCTGCTCAAAGGTCACGGGACAGATGTCCACCACGAAGGGCACACACTGACCCACGGACCACTCTGAGCAGGAGGACCAGGCGAAGCTCTGAAAAGATGGAGAACAGCTGGTCATCTCCAGGCTGGAACCACACGTGGACATCCTGTGGAGCAGTGGGTGTTTCTGGGTACCTGTCCTGGACCACAGGAGATTCCCACAATGTGTTTGGAGTTGAGTCCTGGCAGAGCTTTGGGCTGCTTCTTGTTGGAGAAGAGCGTATCAAAGTGCTGCAGTTTGTCGTTGCTGCCCCAGCTCAGAACCTCTCCGTCTTCTGTCAGGGCCAGACAGTGGGTGGAGCCAACGGCCACGTCCACCACCTTCTTGTCTGCTCCATAAACATCAGAACATCAGATTTCAGACAAGATCCAAAAACAACAAACATCATCCTGGTTTCCTCCGTCTTACCCTGTAAACTGTCCAGCAGCTTTGGATAGCGGACGTGTTCATCGGTACCATGACCCAGGCGCTGGTTGTCTCCTTTGCCCCAGGTGTAAACCTGGCCGTCTTTGGTGAGGGCCACGGAAAACTGGCTGCCGCAGCAAACCTTCACGATGTCCAGATCCTGCAGCTTCTCCACCAGTTTGGGAGTCTTACAGCCGTCGCTGCCCCCTCGGCCCAGTTTACCGTAGTCTCCGTCCCCCCAGGACCAGACCTGACCTGCAGACATACAGACGGCTGGTTGAAAGTCTGGGGATCTTTATGTCTATTGTCTTCTAACCCATTTAAATGGGAGAATTAAATAGAATGATGGTTCAATTGCCAGAGGAACCACAAACATTACACATTGTTACACAATCATATCCCACATGTGGAAAAATTATTATGAATAATTATTATCCACATATAACAAGTAAATACTTCACATTTTTAGAAACTCTCTCTTCAATCAATATCCATGAACAGTCAGTCAGTCAGTCGGTCAGTCGTCGGTCAGTCAGTCGGTCGGTCAGTCAGTCGGTCAGTCAATCAATCAGTCAGTCAGTCAGTCAGTCAGTCGGTCAGTCGGTCGGTCAGTCAATCAATCAGTCAGTCAGTCAGTCAGTCAGTCGTCGGTCAGTCAGTCAGTCAGTCGGTCAGTCGTCGGTCAGTCAGTCAGTCAGTCGGTCAGTCGTCGGTCAGTCAGTCAGTCAGTCGGTCAGTCGTCGGTCAGTCAGTCGGTCGGTCAGTCAGTCAGTCAGTCGGTCAGTCAGTCGGTCAGTCAATCAATCAGTCAGTCAGTCAGTCAGTCAGTCGGTCGGTCAGTCAGTCGGTCAGTCAATCAATCAGTCAGTCAGTCAGTCAGTCAGTCGGTCAGTCAGTCGGTCAATCAATCAATCAGTCAGTCAGTCAGTCAGTCAGTCGGTCAGTCAGTCGGTCAGTCAATCAATCAGTCAGTCAGTCAGTCAGTCAGTCGGTCAGTCAGTCAATCAGTCGGTCAGTCGGTCGGTCAGTCAATCAATCAGTCAGTCAGTCAGTCGGACCACTGACCTTCCTGCTGTAAGGCAGAGTCAGTCAGTGCATCCCTACCGTTCTCGGTCACAGCCAGTGTTTGAGCATCTCCACTTCCACAGGCCACATCGACGACCTTTAGACCCTTCAGGGCCGTCACCAACATGGGCGTGGTCTGATCCTCACTGGACCCTGGTTAACCACAGACAAGACTAATCAGTTTTGACTCAGAACAAAAAGTGCCCCAACATTAGGCCTTGTGACCAGAGGGGGCGGAGCTTACCATGGCCCAGTCGACCGTAGTTCCCTCGCCCCCATGTGTACAGCTCGCCATCCGCGGTGATGGCGGCACTATACGTGCTCCCGCAGGCGACGTGGACCACGTGTTTTCCTGCCTGCTTCCCACTGAAAGCTGTGATGAGTGCAGGTTCCTCCAAATACCTGGCCACACACACAGCCCAAAGGTCAGGGCAGCAGCCCAGACAGGTCTGCACATCAGCTGATTGGTGGAGTGTGTGTTTTCTTACGTGGTGTCTCCATGTCCTAGACGTCCTCCGTCTCCACAGCCCCAGGAGAAGACCTCCCCATTAGCTGACAGAGCCAAGTAGTGCTGACCATCAGGGTGAGCGGCCAGCTTCACGATCTTTCTGGAGCTCAGACTGTGGATCATCATCGGGGACTGGAAAAACCCACAGTGGTGTTTGATCAGATGTTTGAAGACCACAGACCACAGTGGTGTTTACAGTGGTGTTTGATCAGATGTTTGAAGACCACAGTGGTGTTTGATCAGATGTTTGAAGACCACAGTGGTCAGATGGACTCACCAGGGTTGTACTCTTGTAGTTCTGTGTGTAGACAGAGCTGCTTCGTGACAGGATGAGGAAACCCTTCTCTGAACACACAATCTGGGCCACACCCAGGCTGGAAAGAGACCTACACTGGATTGGTCCGTTAACATTGGCATACAGTTTCCAGCCCAGAAGACCCCAGGCTATTACCTCCTGCAAGGAACCCTGGGAACAAAGAAAGGACATTGTGGTCCAGCGGTGTTTCATCCCCAGCCCGTGTCACTGTCAACAGTCAAGTAAGAAGAACGGAGCGAGGGCAGAAGCCACAACAAGGACTGAAGTCACTTTGACTGTTACTAAAGAAGAATTTCTTGTTAAGGAACTAAGGCAGTCAGGAAGTACAAGTCCTGTCGACCTTTATCACTTTAACACTGGGGTCAAACAGAGTTGACCTCTGACCTTGTGTGAGGATGGAGAGTTACACTGTGGAGGACTGTATGGACCAGCCAGTCGGTCCAGGTGGGCCATGATCACTACCGCCGTCTGGCGAAGGTCAATGGCCAAGTCATTATCCTGTGGTAAGGTCAGGTATTGAAGGAAACTCTCATTTGGACTCAAGGGGGCAGTGAGGATCTGGAAAAATAAATACAAAACAAAAACCCACAATAAATGGAGAAATGTTAGTTTAATAACCAGTGCTCACAAATACTAAAACTGGAGGTAACACACTCTCCCAGCATCCTTTGTTCACAATTACGTCAGTGACATAAACTGACCACGAGAGGCAGCAGTGGACCAGCAGCTCCTGTATCTATGTAAACATTAAATTAGTGATTTTCTCCATGGACTTTGGTCTGAACTAAAATCTCTGATAAATGAGTTATCTGTGGCAGAGTGTGTGGGTCCTGGTGGTTAGGATGTGGACAGAATCACAGACTGAAGATGACATTGACTCTATTATCTGTTAACATGTTTCACCTCAGGTTCCTCCTCTTCAGCCACCTCCTCTTTGCTGCTGTGTATGTTCTGAAAGCGCTGCAGGAGTGGCAGTAAGGGGGCGCTGGTTCCCTGCGTGGAGCGTTCATTGTCCATCTCCTTGGTGCCACTTTCCCAGAGACGAAGCAGCAGCAAGACAGCAGAGAGCAGCTGACTGCAGGGGGCACATCATGGAGGTGAGTGGGACTGAGGGTGAGTCTGAGTTTGGTTAGAAGTCAGCTGAGATGTTTCCTCACCTGAGAGTTCCTCTCTGCACTGCCAGCTCCAGCAGAATGGCCAGAACCAGGTGCTGGTCCTGTAGAGGAATGTTCCCTTTGGTGGTGGCACTTCCGTGGACGTCACTGGTTTGAGAGGACAACAGAGTTAGATGGATCTTCATCCAGACGGACCTTCACACCACACCGTGGTCACACAAACACAGGACGGTTCTGATCCGGTAGTTATGTTGATGGAGAAGAAGAACCGACCTGAGGAACTTGGTGGCTCTCTCCACCACCTCCAACCACACCGACGACACACTGCCCTCATCGAAGAGCGTGGCCTCAGGGAGAGCTCTGAGAGCGTCCAGAGACTCCTGCAGGAGCTCACTGCACAGATCGGCATCATCTCCTGAGGAGACAACACTGAAGGTCAGAGGGACAGCAGGACTCCCCCCCCCTCCCCCACGTGTATTGGTCTTATCTCCTGGTCTACTGAGCTGGACCCCCTGGAGCAGACCTTCTCACCTGATCTCCAGGCACGACGCAGGAAGGCAAAGGCGAAAGAGAGCGCCGCCCTAGAGCCCACTCTGGCCAAACCTTCAACACCTTTATTTACGGGCCGAGAACTGAAACAAGAAAAGAAACAGAAACTCAGTTGGTAAAAAACCAACGACCTTTAGATTAATTCGTCCTCACTGTTACTTATGAACCTCTTGTTGTCTGTGGCAGGAAGTGGCGGAGTGGGCGGAGTCTTCCAGCAGACCTCGTACTTCTCCTCCATCATGCTGTGGCTGAGGGAGATGAGGTATCTCTCCAGGATGACCAGACGCTGACGCAGCCGCTGAGCTGACAGAGTGCTCTTAGCTAGGAGAGAGGAGATCTTCTGCTGGTCCTCCACCAGGACCATCAGACACTCCTTCAGCTCCATACCATCTGGACACACACATCATTCAGTTAAACCCAGAAGTACGTCTCCCCCGGGGGGCGCCAGAGTACTTCAGGGGAGCAAAGACAAAGACATGCATGTGTGGCGCCTGTGCACGAACCACAGGTTGAGGTTCAACAACCGTGAAGACTGATGGAACCTCTGACAACAACGAGTCAGAACTGACAAGAACTCAGAGCAGCAGCTCCCTTTCAAAATAAAAGTCCTGACATATCTCGAGTACTAACTGACACTGTCACATGACCTGTTCTTCACAGAGAGAACCATCGGACTGTGGTGTGAATGGATGGATCGGTTCCAGGTACACTGACATGAGAGGACAAACAGACAAGTCGGTAACTCTGTCTGAACATGAGCACGGCCCAGATGAAGCTTCTGGGATATGCTCTGTGTGTGTGAGGGGGAGGCTTGAAAAGATGCTCCAACATTTTTAACCTAAGTCTTATCTGCCCCAGCACAGCACTGTCCCACCCAGCTCTGGAGGTAAACACAGCCTGGGCCTCTCTGGGTCACATGACCTCAGCAGCTGTCTGTGTGCTGGTAAACAGTCAGGACTGAAGTCCATGGACAGTCCTGGATCTGGACTGGATCAGTCCTGGATCTGGACTAGATCAGTCCTGGATCTGGACTGGATCAGTCCTGGAGACAGAGGTCTCCAGCCAGTACTTTATAACTTGATCTTCTCTTTCATCAACAGACAGGTGGCGCGCTTAACACTAATACTCCACTCCACGTCCATCAACAACAACAAGACAGGGACAGTGATAAAAGTGATAAAGGAGGTGACGGAGGAGGAGAAGGAGGAGCAGGAGGAAGAGAATGAGTAGGAGGAGAAGGAGGAGCTCCTGCTCTGACCTGGCTGTCGTCCCCAGTCCCAGGACTCGATGATGGCGTGATGGACAGAAGCTGACGTCTCTTCTTCCTCTTTCTTTTCTTTGTCGTTGGCTTCGTCTTTCTTCTGAGCTCCAAAGCAGTCACAGTCTTCTGAACAACAACAAACAAGATCAGGTGAAGCCCCGCCCACGTCGTCTCTGACACGTCAACACCTGCTGACCTACCAGGGTGAGCAGCATCTTCTCCTCCACTGAAGGTGATCTCCTCGTCTTTGACCATCTCGTTCCACATCTCACTCAGACCCTCAGGAGAAAAGGCTCTCTGTGGACCAGTCAGAGAGCACAGTGACATGAGCTTGTTTTTTATTAGCAGGAAGCTAACAGCGTTCCTCTAACGAGTCAAACCTTGTCACCTCTGACATTGTCAAATAGACAGTGACATCATGGGTCACATCCCAGGATGTTGACATTCATTTTGTTCTGGGAAAAAAAAGTGAGTAGTGACACACAAACCTGTAAATCGATCTTCAGCCATTTGTCATGAAACCTCAGCTGAGCATCCAGGGTAAATGATGGAGAAGGCATCTTCTCCCCCCCACCCCCGGCCGCCGACGCAGCCACCCGGAGACACCGAGAACAGAAGTGAAGGGCAAACA